CAACAATTTTATAATAGCAATAAAAAGAACAAATTCTGCAGTCATCGCCACACTACAACGAAGTCATGAAAGTTTACCAGAATTAATTGGGAGATGAGACGGAGGACGAGGCTGCGGTTGTTGGAGACGAGGAATCAGATGGTGATTGTGATCGTAAGAAGTCTGCCGTTTTTCTCCACTTGTTGTCTCACCCTAAGTGTCTGCAGGTGTATGATGATTTTAGTTTTTCTGTTCTTTGTCGTGCACGGTATGCTAGTCAGTTGAAAGTACTTGAGGCTGTTTGTATTCGTTTGCATAAGCCTGATCTTTGTAAGCAGAAGAAACATGTAGTTGCGTTAAAATTGTTTTCGTAGGTGCACAGCATGATTGTTTGTCTCACTACACAGTTTTAGCGTTATAATTATTAGTTTTTCACCCACCGTTGCACTTAGCTCTCACTTCACTTCTATTGTCTCACCTTCCCTCATTCTAGTTTGGCACTGTATTTTGTTCTCGTAACACATCGTTGAATGTATATTTAATCATTGTTCAGCATGGTTACTCTTCAGTCACGACTTTCCACTGATGAATGTGACAAGAAAATTAATTCTGGTAAACTTTCATGACTTCGTTGTAGTGTGGCGATGACTGCAGAATTTGTTCTTTTTATTGCTATTATAATAATAATACGTAGCCTATTATTACAGGGTGCGACTGAGCTCTTGGCTCTCGGCTCTCGGCCATTTTACGAAGCCTGTAAAATGTAAAGAGTCACTGAGTACAGTTTAATTCAATATCCACGTCGAGTATTCATAATAAAAATAATTTGCTGCAATTTATAGATTCTCACATGCGAGCAACCTGGGCCTCAGCAACAACCAGCTCAGCAGACTCCGGATGCCGAACCGATCGCTCACGAAAAGACCCCGTGAACCCGGCAAACACATGATGCATGATCGCAACAGGGCAAATGAGAGACGGCATCTGACGTTAGATATTACGTGATAGTACTGCTCCTTCCTCCTTTCCGCTCTCAATAACGCGATTCGGCGATAGAGTGATGTCGCCGCTCTTCCCATGCCACCACTTGCCGACAGCACAACAGGCATGAACGTCGCATGCTCCACCTCTCTCACTCTCTCTTCATAGCATCGTCGCTTTTCTTTTTCAGGGCGCCGATAGACAGTGGTGTGTGTTGCAGATCGATTTAAGTGTGCATGAGGATTAAAAACCCGCATATCAAGTAAAGTACGCTCAAAACGACAACCCCACAAACCACTGACCGCTACATCAAGCCGCGCATGCTCCTCCACAATAGCAGACCTGTATCTCATTCTCTCTTCAGTGAGTGGCTGCAGCAGTCGCTCGATGGAGACATTGTGACAGGCCTCTTGAAGGAGAGAGGCTGTCACATCCCGGATCTCATTATGGCGGATAATGGTAAAACCACCAAGGAGACATGACAAGGCATGGTCAAACCATTGTCCCGTCCACAAGAGCAATGAGTTGGTAACGTCGGCGGCATCCAACTATAACAAAAGCACAAGCCGTCCATGAACTCAGCTTTGCTCAGTGAAAAGCCATACTTTTTCAATGGACGGCAAGTCAGCCAACTCGAGGTGCCAGGTTCACGGGCGAGGACAATGGTGTGTCGCAAGGCGTCCAACGCATCATTGCTGATACGCCGTGCCGACTCCGCCTGGCTATGACGTACTTCCTTCTTCCTCTTCGCCTTCTCTCGCTGGATGCCAATCAGAGAATTCCAAATATCAGAAACACGATCCACGATACGCCGGGAGAGAGATGCTGTGATGGCGACAGACGACTCATACTGGGAGCACAAAGTCATTGGGCTGACCAGGCCCAGGCCACCTAAACGACCGGGCATTGCAAGTACTTCCCTCAATACTGTGCTAGGCGGTGGCCGACCCGTCATTGCTGGTATAAGATTCGTGCTTTTCACGTCCTCCAGTGGCTGGAACTGGGACGGAGAAATAGACTGAACGTGGCATAGGAAAGCCCAGCGACTTCTCAAGCCCAAGACATATGCATAATATGCTGCCTGGGGCTGCGAGTGAGCGAAATCAGCCAATCTAGTTAGCTCGTCAGCCCACTCCTGGACCTTAGTCGATACAAGGTTCTCCTTGAAGTCAGCTGAGCCGATGGCTGCCCCCAGGTACCGAGCTCCATTACACGTAATGACGACACTGGTGTCGCTGAACAGCTCAACTGCCTCACGATAGCAACGCTCCTTCACCACCAGAATCGATTTTGATGTATTTGGGAAATATCCATAAGCTGGGCCATCACTTGCCAAGATGTCCCACCAACGACTGGGCCTACGCAACACACTCGCCGCTGCGAAATCATCTGCAAACCAAGACTGGATAGTCCCGGCTTGTTCAGCTTTGTGCACGAGAGGCATCATGCCAATGGCATACATATACATTGCCAGAGGGTCTCCCTGGGTTGTTCCGTCCTCCGACAAGATGCAATCACCGTCGACATATAGGCATGCAGGCGTCCTGTAGGTGTTAATAAAAACAGTGGCCAGAGGTAGGCAAAGGTGTTGAAAATTCCGAATGCAGACGCTGCGATTCAGGCGGTTGAAACCATTTGTTGCGTCTGCCATCAGAATTCCGTCGGTCTCGTCTCGAGCAACCGCCTCCTGCATAGCATGTTTGCCCGCCTCCACCCCGCAGTCCTGACCGGCGCACAGCTGGGAGCAGCCAACAACCTGCTGAACCGCAGGGCCCACAATGGACACAATAATTATTGCTTTCCCCACAATGCGACGAACAACCTCGCCGATGCCAATTGGTCTGACACGGGGCCGCTTGTCCAAGGGCAGCAAGCGACATGCAGTGAACGCTATCAATGCACCAGCATCAATATGCTCAGTGGCCACTCTCCTGGCACAAGAAGCAAGCGCATCACACAACCTAACCGAAGCGTCCGTGAAACAGGAGCACATATGACGCCAGGCCTCAGCATCCACACCGCTGGGTCCCGCTGCGCTCTGTGTGCCTAGCGCTGCCTGTCGGATAGCACGGCGCCCCAGCGAAGCAAAATAGATGGGATGCGGAGGAGGAGGCGGCTGTCCCGGTATCAGAGCCTCTTCGCACACGGGCTCAGCCTCATAATGGTTCTGCTTCAATATATCGATTACTGGAACACCGTCAATTTCATCACTGATGCTGTGCACTCCACCACCACGATCAGCACCAAGGCAGCGCAGAGGAGCCGGTAGCCTCCCAGATGCGACACAATCCGCAAACTTTCATGCAGGATCATCAGGACGACCTCGACCCCTTGTACTGGACTTCTCTCAGAGATTGTGGATAGCCTCTGTTTCCAACAATAATTCATTAATCTGACCATGAACCCACTGGTCCAAAAGCCTGTCCAGGAGCTTGGTATGAGCAGGAGGATACTGCGCGAAACCTGCAGCATCAGCATCTGAAATACTGCTGCCACCATCAACGCGCTGTCAGCGTATGATCCTGCATCACCAAAACAGTTGAAATAAGTAGATAGAGTTGTTATAAATCTCGGCCAACATTTCCGCGAGGCACTTGAAATGCATTCGTAGCAAGATGCACGCACTTACCATATGCTGTGGAAAGAGCCGTCATAGCCTCAGATGCCATCAAATTCCCCAGACAAAACGTTTCACGAGGGGCTGTCACATGGCCGCAGTCATCCACACCAGGTACTACTGTGGTCGACAAGGGTCGATCCTGAACATGTTTCTCTGGAGAAGACTCCGACAATGACTGAGCACAATGAACGGCACCACCATCACGCGCAATTTATGCACATGACGAAGCAGCACAAACACCATGGATAGCATCAAGGTCGGTACTGTCAGGAACCAATGCGACAGGGACGCTGGCACGCAAAGGTCCAGCCATGGAACTGCAACGAGAGAAAACAGCCCCTGGCACTGTTGAAAGGTCATCACCCACATGTGCACTCTCATCAGCAGCCGCCATCCGAAAAACAGCATTATGGCTATGGTTCGAGTTACCATCCCCGCCGGCATTGGACAATACCACGTGGTTCACTGGAAACAGAGGACCCACATCGCCTTCCGGCAACATTAACGAGATGTTGTGAGGATTCCGACATTTCTCACTCACGCCAGGTTTGCAATCCAAACAAGTCCGACCATCACGTTTACATATGCATTGCCGGCACTGATCAAATCCATTCTGTGCCTGATGCCTCGTCGCGTCTCTCGTGGTAACAGTTTGGCATGGAAGTTTAACCTCATAGTGCCATGGCGCATGGGCCTTCGTGCTCCCCTCCTGTAATGTGCTAGAATTAAGACCATAATTATTTGGCATGTACCCTCACTTCGTAGAGCACAACGGCGCGCTCTTCTTCTCCGTGATGTGCACAGTTGCACCTTCTCTCCCCCTCTGTTTAGAGGTGACATAACTCGCATCATTATTTTATTTTTTTGGCGCTACACTCTGTGTAACGCCGTTCACAGAGCACAATGCGCGTTGCTTTCTCCTCTGTGATGTGCTAGTTGCACCTTTTCTCTCTCTCTCTGTCCCCCCCGTTTCTGCATACTAGGTGACATAATTCGCATCTTTTTTGGCGCTACACTCTGCCTATATATACTGCTCTTGTGTGGCTTCCACGGTATTCATTGTTATTACCTGACGATGGCCAAGTGCCGAAACGTAAAAATAACGGAACTGGTTCGGATGTGATGTGCAGCGGTATGGGAATGGGTGTGTCCACCTGAATTCTTTTCCCACATATACAGTTAAGAAAAAGTAGTTGTCCTCGTGACGTGTGGTCACTCGTTCCTGACACTAACGCGAATCAGAGGCTTCATAACAAAGCATTTTAACACAGCGTCTACAACTGTTTCCTTCAATCAGTGCAGCAGATAATAATACTCACAGATAATCGAGGTTTGTTAATCACGTATCCAGCAGTACTCTATATACACACAGTTATAATTACTGTTCTCTGCGTTCAGTGGTGCAGTTGATAATACTTACAGTAGTCGGAGGTTTGCTAGACCAGAGAACACACCGTCACTTAAAGTCTGGATCTGATTACTTTCCAAACCTCTACAAACGACAAAGCACAAAGACAATGTTGTTGTTGCTTAGTTCCAGGTAGTGCGCAAAACACCGAGTCTAGGGTATAGTTGTTCTAATCTAAAAGGCCGAAACATTACGCTGTTTTCAGGAATAACCTAGACTCCTAACCACAACATGATTCATATGCAACTTGGTTAGGTTGCTCACTTCACATACACCACTGTAACATATAGTTTTCGTCATTTTTCTTTCCATTGTCAAGCATGAGGTTTGAGGTTTGTTGCAAAGCTAAGAAAACGCAATTTCTGAAGTTGCTTTATTTGACACTGCAGAAAAATAACTAACCACCCAAGCATGAGAATATATCCTGGCTTGAATTGTTACAAATTGCGTGAGAACTGAATATGACGTTAAACAGTATACCTAAACGGGGACTTCCCCAGGGACTCATAGTCTCATAGTCTTTGGCGGATCATGGCGGTAGAAAAGGTACAAAACCCGTTTTTTATGGTTCGTGTAGTTAATATTTTGTTATGTTGGCAACCGCCATTTTTGTTAGGTACATGAAGAAATGGAGCGGAAATAACGGAAGTGCGTGCTATAAGGTTGAAGGTTCTGGAAATTTCAATGCTTTTCGAACAGAATCTGTCATTGTTTTAGAGAATTATCCGCAATGGGCGAATGACTCATGGCTTCAATTAGTAATCTAAAGGGCATAATTATAATTTTCGTTCCGCGGTTCCTAAAACTATAGAACATTTGTAAGTTATAGAGGGATACATGATTTTCCTTTAGACACTGTAGGGCAGCTCTTAAAACGTAGGACATTTTGCTGCTCCATTTACTGTGCGTGGCTATCAAGGTATCCAATGCATGTAACCCTTTACATCCAATTATTAGGGTTTCACCTCTTGACGGCACCCAGTTACTGCTCTGGACATCTGGACACCGTCTTCTTATAACAACAAATGATGAGAGCGCAGGAGGAGAATGGAAAACAAAAGTCAGGGCAGATCTTGCAGGCTACGCTGGTCAGGTCTTGAAAGTGCGGTGCATAGTCGGGAGTGCAAGTGCGCAGCGTAATGTTTTGAAAAAAAAAGGGACATTCGTTGGTAATGCATGGAGTTTTCAGGAACATTCTGTATCAAACAAAAACACGCCACTTTATCGGGAGTTTTTGTTTGAAATCCCCAGGACCCCGAGAGTAGTGAATGAAGCCTCTTTTATGGTCGAAAGAAACACAATGGATGAAAATGCAATACAAATTTAATGTGTCGCATCCATGGCTCTCAGTGACCGGACCCAGGAATCACTACGAGCGGCAACTGAATAGACGTGTGGCCTCACGACAACCCGCAGGGCCTGCTGGAGAGCCGGGTCAGCCGGGTCACGCGCCCGGCTGGGGAACTGCACGACCTGGCTGAACAGATAACACCGGGTCCAGTCTGACCCGGTCCAGTCTGACCCGGCTGAAAAATGTCTCAAACTGACAATGGATTCCTAAAATAATAGCAATGAAAAGTATGAATGCCGCAGACATCACCACGCAACATGACAATTTGTTCAAGGTTTGGTTTTGTGTGTTTCCAAAATCGATTTTCACGTTCCGATCATCAGTGGAAATACGGAACTAAAGAGATCAAGGGAAAAACAAAGGTTAAAAATCCAAAGAAGTGTGACACATGACGGGTAACTTGTGATTCCTAAAATACCGGTATTTTACGACTCGCGGACCCCATCTGTTGCAAATCTAGCGCAACCGTACACACTACAGTCTACAAGCGACAGAAACTCGGCTAGGGTCAACTGGGGTCAACTGGTTCGAGCGCGATCTAGCCAGGGGCGAGCAGGAAGTAAGGACATTCAAAGTCGATGGGGCAGGCAGTCAAAAGCGTAACTTTGGCTATAGCTTTTGACACAGTTGCAAGCTTTCAGCCGACTGGTGATTTGGACGATGGAGCCCACAGCGAAGAGAAAAAGAACTCACGCTTTCCAAGACTCTTGGAAGAAAGGTCGACCCTGGCTGGATTACGACCATGCCAGTCTATCCATGTCATGCGCTTTGTGCAAGACGCATTTCTAAAGGAAGACGAGCGGCGGTGGATTACGTCGCGATGTTCTCTAAAATTTCCGATTTCCGGGTAATAAATTCGCCTTTCTGTTTTCCTGCGTTTTGAGCAGCCTTTTTGGTTGTTTCTGCCGGATGATCTGACCCGGCTTGATCCGGCTGGCCTGCATGCGCCAGGTACACTCTGACCGGGCTGTGTTGAATGTCTAGAGCAGGCCCTGAAGCCCAACACAACCCAGGGGCCAACCAATATAGCTAGCTTGGTCTAAGTTCAACCCTACACGATCAAGAGACAAAGACTGTTAGTTTTACGTTGTGAGTAGTCGTTCAAATCCGAGCTCAAAGTAAACCAAGACAGAGAACTGAGACCAAGTCTCGACTGCAGTAAAAAAGTGAGCGAGAGCTTCTTTTATAGCGCAATTTTGAGATGTGGCGTGATCATTGCCTAGAATGATACGAGGTATTTCCAGGAACTACAAGAACCGGTAAAACTGGAATATGAGCAGCCAGTCAGCAGAAAAGCAGAATGCACGTACGTAATCATTCGAGAAGAAAGAGAAAGAAAGACATGGAGAATAAAGACCAAATTGGGACGTGGGGAACCCGCTCATCCAACGTGCCATAGTTCAGTGGCTTCTTATGGTAAGTTCTGCTGCATTCTTGGTCTTGCTTGCGTGATACTCTGACCTGTTGCGCGGTGAAGGTTTGGTTTATGCACACGTATCCTTTCTTGCACTTAGCTCTTGTTATACAATGTGATGTTATTCTTGCCTTCTTGCACGAAGCAAGGAGGCATCGTGGAACCCTGTAGAACGTCGTTGTGACGTGGTTGTGCACAAAGCCTGGAGTCACATTTCCAGGAAGCCAAGCACTTCCAAGAAACGTACAACGCGAGAACCCACCTGACCTCGTTCCGGCTTTGGGTCACATGATGTGCCATGCCCAGAAGGCATGTCACCTACGTGGGAAAGGGCATGTCGCTCAACTTACATGCTAAGCCCGTGGGACAAGGCACTGGCCAAACCACATTCTATCAAAAGGGCATGACAGCTCAGCACAGAGATGCTCACTATGTAGATCCTGCTGTCACATGACTATCAGGCAGCAATCGTCACGTTCAGGGACGTGACAAATGCAAACACCAAAAACCAGAAAAGTAACTTCATAGAGTAGTCGTTGATGTTCCGGGATATTTCCAGGAAAACCGGGAGTGTTTGCTTGTATATAAATTGTAACGACAAATCAGGGACCAATACGTACAGAACACATGACCAATCACACACGACTCTCATTCCCAGACCAAACTCACACTGCGCATGTTCAGCATTCACTTGACAGTCGCTCTCACAGCGACGGAAAAAGATTCTCACACTCTGACACGGCGTAGTCTTGAAAACACCACATACTATAAATGTCACACATAACAACATACTCGCACGTACACTTAGGACCATGTTTTCCCTGGTATTGGGCTGACTGCTCAGCAAACGTTCTCCCTCCCACTCTCTTGCTTTAAAGCGACGTTCAATTTTCGAGGAGAGTATTTTAACTCAAACCAGAGACAACTCGCTTGTGATTTGCAAACGTATCGCGTCGACTTCTGAGGATTTCAGGAGCTGAGTGAAAAGGACCCGTTCGACAGAAGTATCAGTAAAACTTACAGTCTATTGAGGTTCAGCAAAAAAGAGTGGGTTCACATCTCTGCCTCCACCTCTGAATGGCGAAGATCCAAGCAACTTGGCTCTCTCTTGGGTGAAGAGGAAGATTTGAGCCTACGAATAGACCAAGCATCAACATCGTATGGCCGCAAGTATTCGCTCTGGATACGACGTCAACTTGTATCCGAGTAAACAAGGCGTTGTCTATGCAATGCCATCGTCCTACCAACGCTGTTCCACAACTGCGAAACCTGGGGACTGACGGAGGCTGCACTGGAGAAGCTTAACGTCTTCCATAGACGTCAACTACGGACCTTTTTCGGAATTAGGTATCCCGCCATCATCTCCAAAAGAATATAGTTCCAGAGCGCACGCACAGCCACGCTCGCACATCGTAGCTGTCCGCCGTTTCCGGATGCTAGGTCATGTTCTGAGGATGCCCTCAGACGCCCCGCCACATCAGGCAATGGACAACTACTTCCGTCGAGATGTCACTGGTCTGCGTGGACGCCTAAAATCGAACCTGGCCACGGCAGTCAAGGCAAGCGCTGCTGCCAGAGACATGCCCCTGAAGATTGATCAACAAGAGCCCCGCCACGCTGGCGTTTCAGAGCCAGCTTATGCTGTTTAGTATATATTTTTAGGGCTCTGTTATTCGTATGTATTTGTGCAGGCGTTGTGGCAGGATTCCTCACTGTAATTAACACAAAACTGAAAAGAAAGAAAAAGGAATGAAGAAATGAAGACCATGACCGATCTGAGTGAGTTCAGAATACGCGCTTTGGAAAAGCAATCATTGAGGGAACTCTCAGCCTGAGCTGGTTTTACTCACGGCTGCAATGCACGGAGTAGTGAACCCAGGACAGAAGCAGACCAGGCATCATGACTTTGCACATCTATCGTTAGGCTGCTTCATTACGCGATCTGTTTTTTTATTCATCAGCACTCAGCCGAAGCGCCGGAGATTGGCACCCACCGGACAAGCATCCAGCAGCCAAATGGTGGGGCCATGCATCATAATTGTGGACATTAAATACGACGGTATGTAAAAAACAGAGAGAAACACACAACACTTTCTCAAATATGGATCATAGGAAACAAGAGAGGGTTTGGAGGAAAATGGGACCGCAAGACCTCCACCACCCACAACAGAGCATTACAAATCAAGCACCTATACACAGAATAGCTACCGAGCCACAGAGAGCATTCTTCTGCACTTCAAACACCGAGCAGTAGCTGGTGATACCGATGGTTTTAAGGTATCCTGGCAACTGAACAGGATACAACGAGTCACCTTGGGG